GCGCAGAACCGAGGGGTGGACTTAACCATGGACACTATCTCCCAGGTTGCCCCAAGAACCTAGGGATACCTGATCATTAGAAGTGAAATGGTAATAGTGTTTACTGATTTTTCAAACACAGATTGCAAAAAATCATAGAACTTATAAAGAATTTTAAGGAAGTATTTTTCTCATGAACAGTATGACATTTTAAATAATGTTTTTGGTTTTAATACTGAGTATGTTAATTCATGGGACACTTGCTAGGACTTTTGTGCAGTCTTAATTCACAAATGTTTACTTAAATATTAATAAGATATAGATAAATTAAATTAAATTTAAATTTTATTCATATTTTCCTTGTCCTGCAAATGGGTTTCCATTTTTCATTGCTTTGTCAGATCTTTCCTGGAAAAGACATTGTGAATTCCTGATTCTTATGAACCCCTTCACTAGGTAGAGAAAAAATACTTCTAGCTTATGTGACTATACAGGTCTAGTTTATGTTTCAGTTTATGGGAGAATAGCAATACTGTTGAAGAACATTGCCAGAATAGATCAAATGTCATTGTAGTGATGACAAAATTTCATCATCGACCTGTCATCATCATAATGAATTTTTTACTATGAGAGTTGCAATCTCCATCTTTCCAGAATGATGGAAAGTGGGTAATGTTTTTCCTATTTAGGTACTCATTAAAATGGGGTTGTCACACGACAGATTTGAGACAAGTTTTCACCCTATGGCTTGTTTGACAATTTACACCATAGCAGTCAGTTGGCAACAGATTATGTTGCTTTCTGCTGTATCATTTCTCTTATCTTCTAATGCAATTGCCATCCTTATCATCTCACACTGCCTAACCCCTGATAACCTAACAAAACAACAGTGGGTGGTATCTCTGCCCATACCATGGGGGTGGAACTAGATGATCTTTAAGGTCCCTTTCAACCCAAACCATCCCATTATTCTCTACTATTATATCCACATCTGTAGTTATATCTATATAAAATATAGATATATATAATATTATCAGAGCTGAGGGAGAACTACGCTTTTTTTTTACTGTGCCACTGCATTTTAATTCTGTTTTGTTGATTATTTTGTGTAATACATTCTAAAATAATAGTCACATTTGACTGATGAATCAAACAAGATTATTTGCTTAACAAAAAGAAACATGTATACACAAGTATCCGAATTTGAAATTCACTGCACCTTGCACAAACAAACAGTAGAATGGAGAGGGAAGAATAAATGGGTTTGGATTAGTGGAGTAATGTGCTGGGAAGGGTTGATAGAGGATAAGAGCATATTCTGGAGTGAAAAAGGCATTTGCAGCATTTGCCGGTGCCAATGTTGCAACATCTCAAAGGAAAACAGGTAACAAAGAGAAGTGGAACTCAGAAGAAATATTTCACATTCTCCCATAACAGCAGCGTCAAGTAGCAGCAAGAAAGCCTGCTTACATTATAGTACTTGGAAGCAATTAGTGCAAATGTCAACATACTCAGGCTCTCAATTATTTTAAGAAGTTTTGGACTTGCAATAATATAATCTGGAAATCGATGTCATACTATTCAGTTGATAAAGTGAACTCTTTCATCAGTTGTACTGAGCTTTTTAAGGCTGACGGGAAAAGCTGATGGGTGAGACATACAGACTATGGTTGATTTATCTTTTTACAGACACCTGAACAAAATATATCTAAAACATGAACTGGGAATTGTTGTAACAGCACACGCTGCCCCCCATGAAACAACAGAAGAGAATGGAAGGTTGTTTTCAAAGATCAGCTTGAAACCGAGAAGATTATTTCTTCTCAAAACCAAGGACATACCAGCAAAAGAAACATCAAACTGAATCATTGTGGGCTTTCATGTGAAATTAAAGAATAAAGATCTGATGCTTGTTTCAGATTGATATTAGTATTGACTTTTTGATAACAAGCACATAACAGAACTTCTCACATAATTAGAAATCAGTTCTGAATTTAAAGCATGAGAGATTTGACAAGAGATGGTCTGTTGCGATAATGAAGAGAAGGACATTTTAAGTATGTACTACTTATCTCAAAATATTAGAAATAATAGGAATAGGAATAGGAATAGTGTGATGGAAACAAGTCTTAGAACTTCACCTTTGTGGCAGCATCAAAACAGACAAAGCCCATGCTAAAGTCAATGGTAAGTCCCATAAGATGACTCTCCAAAACACAGGCATATGTCTTGCACTGTAAAAGAAAAAACAGAGAAGGCAGTTACCACAGAACACATTTCTTGAAGTTCTTTCTAGGACCACTATTTCTGTGTCTTTATTCTAATGTTTATATATTTCAAAATTATTATCAGAAATAAGTAATTTGTGTATAAATATGTCAAATTATTTCCAGTGTATTTCAAATCAAAGGATTTTTAAGAGTGATAAAGTTGTCTAGGTAATGTGAAAAGAGGCTTTCCTTCCATTAGGAAAAATGAAACAGAATTGCCTCAATGGCTTACCAATGACAGTTGCTAAAAGGGAAATGTTATTATTTTTAAACTTTCTTATTTGTTTTTCATACCCAGTAACTTCTTCTAACATTAATATATTCCTTTTAGCTTTTTAAGAATAAATAAATGTGTATATAAAATATCCTTTTGGTATACTGTTTCTTGTGCTTTTGTGTGTCTCAGTGAAAAAAGTAGTATTTCATACCATTTAACAATTGATGTAATCATGTGAAATATATTTTTTGTTTCAGCTAGCGGACCAATATATGTCAAAGTTTTCTGAGAGAAACCTTGAAATCCTGAGAGACATTCTCATTCTACAATCTTTGAATATATGCATCTATTTATTTCCATAACATCACACTTCAATACATGTTGTGAGACATTAATTTGTGTCATTTTCAGGATCAAAACTATTGCTGTGCTTGAAGGCTGACTTCAGGTACAAAATGGCAAACTTGTATTTTTCATCACAAAATATGTAAAAAAAAAGTGCAAACATTTGCAAATCTGATGCAAGTTCTTTAAAGAAATCATTCTTATTTTACAGACATTTACCCTCCAGATTAAATGAAATAATGTTCTTCAAATATGGCTGCATCCACTAAAAATATGAAATGAGAACAAAGAATTCCATGACCTATAATGTGTCAAAGAATCAAAATATAAATTGTAAACATCGGAACAGTGTAAGTTACTAAATTGTCAGTATTACAAAAGTACCTATGATTACTTTTGGCATTTTGGTTATCAAGGATAAAGCACAGGCCTTTATTTATATATTCTTTGGGTGGGTTTTTTGAATTCTAAATGGTCTTCCCCAGTACACAACAAGCTGAATCATGCATTGACAGCTTCTACCAGTTGAAATAGATATTGCAATGAAGGCAAATTGAAAACTTCATAGGTAGTGTTTATATTAGCAAATAAAAGTGGTGCTGTTTGTTTTTCCCTTGAAGCAGCTACACCATAAAACTGCTATGAATATGTAAACTTTGATTGTAAATCAGTGCTATTGAAAAAGGAGAGGATATTGCCTTTGGCACCATCTCATTAGTAGAAGAAAAGAGTGTAAAGTAATATATTTCACAGTTACGTACTAGTTAATTATTCTCTTATGCAAAATTTTCAGGTTTTGCATGCAAAGCAAAAAATGTATTTTTGTAGAATTATCTTGCAAACTTCCTCCAAGATGAAAACTACATTCATAAACCCCCAGACCTAGAACAGACCTAGAGCCTTTACTGGAAATTAGATTTTGGCAAGGAGACAGTATATCAGATTTAAAATATGTACTGTCATCTAGAGGCATCTAATCTCCCACCTCAACACCAGAGGTCAACCTGCAGTGCACACTGGAGCACCATGCTGAGCTAGCACAACTAACTCTGCTTAAGCACAGCTCTGCGCTGGGCTAATTAGCCTCACTGGGAGGTTAAGATTTATGAGAAACAGGACATACCAGTCTTGGTTCGAGACTGCACTGAAAAAGCAGCCTGGACTGGAGGTTCTTTCTCTAAGAGGAAGTGAGCAGTTTGCGGAGAAGTATCATCTAGTTCAGTTCAGTGTAGCTATTTGAAGGAAGAAACTACAGACCAACAGTAGTTTCTTTATTTATACTTTATTTTTTATTTATTTATTTATTTATTTATTTATTTATTTATTTATTTATTCTTTATTTATGCTAAGACCATTCTACGCCTTTGGACCATGTATTCCATGATGTTCAAAACAATTCAGAGAAAAAAAATGTAAGAATAACAAAAGGATCTCTGGACCAGAAGATCAGTTTCTTTGGGGAAGAAAGTCCTTTGGTTTATGCATGCATTGTATGCATTTGCACATGATTCTGGTTAAAGGTCTGAGTAGGATGTGAACTTGCAGACACTAGTTAACTCTGTTATGATTTTTCTCTTTCTTTTCTTTAATTTGCCTTTTAATTCAGATATTTGGAGAAAACAAAAATGAAGAAATTGTTCTTAAGATACATGATAGCTTAAAATTTCTTATACATTTAATAAAGGTTTTAAAACTTTAAAAGTGACTGTTAATAATATATACTGTGGATTTCTCACATAGAGCTCATGAAAACCTTACCAGAACTGAAGCATCCCCCTCTCAAAAGAAGCAGAATATACTTCAGCACTCATTTCTTGTTCTCTCACAGAATACAGAATCTTAAATTTGGTTTATGAATAATTCAATGGGTCAGGCAAGGGCTGAAGGAGACAACCTAAAGTTGTTCCTTGGGTTCTTTTCCTTCAACACACACAGTTTAAATTATGGGATACACTGTGAACTTAGTGTAAACTATATCTGAGGTTAAAGAAAACCACACTATAAGTCTAAGATTTAATTCAGACTTTCAAATTTAGATTCAACTTCAGTGGGGACAAAAGTTAAAGTACTGCAACACAAAATGGCTTACATAATAATCCTTATATTACAGAACAAACAACTACAATGCAAACAAGGACAACAAGAAAAAAAAACATGACAGAGAGATGAAAATTTTAGTTTAAAGCAGCAGTATCTCAAAGGGAACATGACCATAATATGTAACTGCACATCATTACGCAAGCTATGGTTGTCTCAGATTCTTTGTGCAACAATCCTGTGAGACAGTAAGGAAAAACGATCTTCATTTCAATTAAAACTTTCTCCTTTTAATAGGTAATTGTGAAAATGGATTAGCATCCCTTACTAGTCAAAACAAAACTAACCAAAGAGTGACTGTAAGACACCATAATGACACCACTACATTATTGTACCACATATTATTGCTAAATTATTATCAGTCTATGTCTTCTCTAAAATACTTTCTTTCTAAGAAAACCCAGCTGCCTAATTTTTGTTTTATATATACCTCTGGCAGATGCTATGAATTAGACTTAAACAGAATTTATAATACCTCTATTGTGAGGCAATTGAAAATATTTTAATTCATGATATATTCCTTGGAATTATATCAGAATAGGGCCCTGAATGACCTCCTGTGGAGGTTAATGCAAATTAATACTAATTGAGTAACTGTTATTATTAGTATAATTATGGAATATAGATTAAATTTCAGTGGCAGTTTTTAACTGCAGTTATATTTTCAAAATTATAGTTCATTTAAGGCAAACTTCCACAAATCTGGAATATCATTCACATTAAATATGAATATCCCTATTAATATGATTTCATAAACCACAATTTTAGTAGAAATGTACAGTTGATACCTTAATTTTGAAATTGTCACCATTTTTTTTCTCATGGAGCAGTGAAAGGACTTGTTGGAGACAAATTATATCACCAGATTTTTCTGCATCTGCAAGCTGGTAGATGAAAACAGTAATGGATTGTTGAAAGAAAACAGCGGTCAAACCCAGTTATATTAAAAATTGTCTTTGTTTTTTTTAAAATTGAGATACAGAAATAAAGAAAAAAGTGTGAAATCAGGAGTGTGAGTGCCACAGTAATAATTTCTCATAAGAAGCCTGTTTGTACACTTTCACAGATTTGCTATAACGAATTAATCAATCAATCAGTTTCAGGAAATCATTACTTTGAGTTCTTAATTTCTACTTTAAACATCAGCAGAGAGAAAAGAGAGGTGAAAAGGTCAAGATTAATCTGAGGTTAAGATTACTAGGAAAATTCTTTTGGGGAAGCATGAGAGCAGTTTTGAATAAATGTAATTCTAAAATCCAAAAGAAAAATCTAAACTAGGAATACTAGAGTATTAATCAATATTAGAGTAGAACAAGTATGAACTGGCTTCTGGGCTATAAGTTATTCAAGAAAAATCCATATTTTCCTTTATTTATTGCACAGTACTGCTTCTATAAACTGTGTTTCATTCAGTTACATAAGAAAGACAAAGCATCTCAAATAGTGGCAGAAGACATATATTGCTGCAATTCTTCACACAGAAAAACTAGACTTATTCAGCATGACAATTAAAGATCAAAAGGTAAGAATAGTTTCTAGAAAAGGTAGCAGTGTATGAACATAAAGAAAAATTTCTAACCTTCTCCAACTCCTCCAACAAAATGCAATAAGACTGACAGCAATGTAGTCTTTGCAGAATGGATCACTATTAGTATAAACTCATTCAGTCCATCTGCATGTGGTGGTTCATAGGTCAGAAAAGGGCTAATATATAACTAATGATTTGTCTGAATAAAAATATGCCAGTGCTTGCGTTCCCAGGAGGACACAGAAAATGAGTGCCAGGAAAGTGAGCAGTGGCCAACACTTGCACAGGCTAATATGATTTCTGTAGGTGTGTATAAGTCATGGCAACATCAGCTAAAGCTGTTCTAACCACATGCATATTTTATGATTAGAACATCAATACAGCAACCAGGATTAGGTGAATTATAATTGCAGTGGCTGTTTTTTTTCTTCTCTTTTAAGTCAAAAACTCATTACGTTTTCGTCATATGAGAACACCAAATTTATCTTTAAGCACTGATACATATTTTTGCTATAATAAATTGCTTGTAAGCTGTATCAGGATATCATTCATCTCTGCTCTGTCATCTGAAAATTGAGAAAATACACAAGAAACAAGAAACATGTGAAAAAAGAATAACGTATTTGAGGTACAATTTTGTTCTTGCTTGTATCCAGGAAGTACTTCACTCAGTGTAATCTCATTCCCAGTTACTACAAGGACAATTTAATTCCTGCAAGGTTCTCTTGTGTTATCCAGCAACAATTAAGGTACAATGTAAGACAGTAAGCATATCTAAACAGCTGGGTTTTGTCCATGATCTGCTTTTCCTCATCTGTTCAAGAACATCAGTTATCAAATATGTATCACCTCGTCACATAACTCAAGGACTCTATTTGAGATGATCTCTGCTGAATGTTAGATTCCAAGCTCTTTGGAAACACCAAAAGGTTTTTTTCTGCAATTATTTACATAAGACAGTAATTTGAGAGCTGCGGGAGGTCAGAAAATTTCTTAAATTACAACATTATTTCATATAGGTCTAGTTTGTAAATGTACCAAAAGGAGATCACCAGGGCAGTTCTCACCTGTATCCGTTCAACTTCTAAAAAAGTTGCTGTTTGGAAGGCTTTTTCCCAAAGTGTTAGGTCAGATTCTAGTTCCACAGAAAAGTAAAGATCTTCTCCAGATTCAGACTGGACACTGAAGCAATGTTTCCGCCGGTCCAGTAGATCACTGTCCTGATGAAAACCTGAAGTTATATAATCTGGCATACATCAATTAATATTTTTAATTGCAAACATCTATGCCTCAAACCCAGCATTTTTAAAAGGCATTTTTTATGATATAACACTGTAGTAACTATCAAGTGCTGAAGAAATGAAAACGAGGGGTTTGGTGCAAATGTAGACATTTAAATGATTTTTAGACAGGACACCTAAATTCCAAATGGTACAGAATGACACACCATACCTCTGGCTTAACTTTGAATATCTTAACAAATCACTGTGTTATCAGCTATACAATTTTAGATTAAACAAATTCTGTACAAGGTGTCCACTTTCTATTCACATGGGGAACAAAAATACCAGCTTCTGTGACCTATTTGACTCACACACCCTACTCTGGAAGGCTGGTCAAAGGAAGCAGTATGATTTTAAGCAGTATGATAAGTCCATCTGTCCTATTATTGCAGCAGAGGCTAGAGAAAACAAGTTCATATTTCTGGAGGCTTACAAAATGCTACATAAAATTTGCCTTTAGATGGATACTGCCAGTAGAGACTATAGTGGCTGCCAGTGGTTAAGTTGCTGGCTTTGGATCAGGAGGAGAAAGTTACTTTTGGATTTATTTTCAACACAATACCACTGAATGGATATTGGGTTATAAACTTATAATAATTAATGATTGTCAGCATTTGTAATTGGTACTAAACCAACGAATAAGTAAGTTAATCAAGAAATCCATTCACTAAAATGTTTTCAATTATTTGTTTTTTTATTTTTATTCAATACAGGATGCTTTAGGCTAAAATTCTGGCATGTAATTCGTCCTTGTGAAAAATACACTTTCAGAAACAGGTGTAATTAATTTTGTCCCTGCTATGTCGAAGCAGCTGCTACATGTCAGAAACTCACCAGCTGTCCTTGCCAATTCATCTGGAAATTTGGGTGTAAGTAGCATGGGTGCAATTTCTACAACGCTACCCCGTAGCAAAGGGCACAATTAAGACTGCTAAAGGAGACTCACAGGACAGTATTGCCTTCTGGTTATATACAACTTGGATAGACCAAGGGGAGCATAACCAGCTCATACAAGCTGGAAAAGGACCTTACACTGTTCAAGTCAGCTCTCCCTGGGGCAGACAACCAAGAACCTAAAGCTAACTGAGAACAGAAATAAATAAAACAGAAAAATGTCAGAAACTATTACTCTCAGGCATACAAGTAGGCGATGGTAGAGTAAGCACTACTTTCCCCTTTCTTTTCATTCAGTAGACATGTGACAGACCTGTTCAAGAAAGCCAATACAGCATGCATTCCTGAATGCTTCTGGTTCAAAACTGCTTTACATTTTCTAGAAGAATCAGCTATGGAAGCAACATACCATCTCTTTGCAATTACCATGACGAAACCAAGTTGCTAGGATTTTAAAATGACCAGTCACTGTGGAACAATCTCCTTCCTTGCTTCCATCAAGTCCTAAGATGCTTAGCTCATTAGTGTTAAGTCATGTATGGAAAAAATCAGCATGAACGTAGGCTGTTAGATCTTACAAACAGCATTTTCAAAAAAAAATTAATATTCTCACATATTTTTCTTCCACATGTTCAGAGGGCTGTGTAGTTGAACATGCTAGATGTAGTTGACTAATAGCCTATGCCCTATGAAAAATACTTTTGTCTTTTTTTGGCGTCTTTTTTTATCCCTTTTTTTTCCCCTTTTTATTCAGGTCCTTCTGCTAAAACTGAAGTGTCATTTCTGCTCACAGTATGTTATGACTAGCATTCAAAAAGGAGTTTATAATGTCTAGGTTGCTGTTAATGACATCTATGCTTCATTGCACATACACCCTCCATGAGCACAGAGCAGCCGCATTGTGACAAAAGTTTAACCTTGTGGATATGGGTAGCAACATAAAACACAATCATAGAATGTTTTGGGTTGGAAGGGACTTTAAAGATCATCTAGTTACATCCCTCTGCCATGGGCAGGTACACCTTTCACCAGACCAGGTTGCTCAGAGCAACATCCAGCCTGGCCTTGGACATTTTCAGGGCATCCATGACTTCTCTGGGCAACCTGTTCCAGTGCCTCATCACCCTCACAGTAAAGAATTCTTTCCTAATATCTAATCTAAATCTATCTAATCTCTTTCAGTTTGAATCCATTCACCCTCGTCCTGTCACTACATGCTCTTGTAAAAAGTCCCTTTCCATCTTTCTTGTCTTTCTGGTCACCCCAAATCCTTCTCTTTTCCAGGCTGAACAATCCCAATTCTGGTTGAGTTAAAGACCTGGCAGACCCTCACTCCTCCAGGGAAGAAAAGCTACTTCTTATAGTCTAATAGCACTTCTTGTCTAACAGGTCTTAAGTGGGGGTCTTGAACTCACTGTGCTTCCAGACCTTTACCTAATTGAATTGGCTTGTGGGTCCCTAACCAAATGGACCTATTCAGCATGGAGTCTGACAAGACTCACGTGTAAGGTACATGTATTTTTCCGTGGAAGGTTCTAGTTGTTCACAGCTAGTCTCAGAAGAACCTAAAATATTTTGAACTCATCTTTACCTATTCTTGACAACAGCAGAGAATAAATAATTATTGCTAATCAAACTCTTCTTAAGCCTTTTTTGAAAAAACTATGGCACTAAATGGGATCACAGGAATCACTGCCATTAAAACAACTGAAGTAATAATCCCTGTTTTTAAATGGGAGGGAGTTTAGTGCAGTGCTCAGTTCCAGAATGTATATCTCTATTTAGCTGGGCACAGTTAAGGTTTGATGCTTTTAAATTACATTTTTAGACTCTCCTATTCTTAAAGGCTTTATTCTTTCCTATTGAGAAGAATATGCTGTCTATGAGAACGGGAAGAGTTATTGTGCAGACTGTGAAACACAAAATGTTAAAAGTTTTTCTGAGATTGATCTCTGTTAAAAAGTGTTTGAAAAATACAAAAATCTCAGAAGTCCTTGAAATGATTAAATAAAAGCCTGTGTATTTTATTATCAACTGCAAGCAATAATTCTACTAGATTTTACTAAGCGTTACACAAAACCAAGATGATGAAAAGAGAAAGAAGAGATAAATGTGATCTATAATATTTATCCAGGTTTTTGCTATTTAAACATGAAAATGAAACCATGCTTTGATTTAGAAAAGATCTAATCAGTACTAAGTAGCATTTCCCCTCTGTGGTTTAGATATAAAATGTAGAGTATTTCAACTACTACATCATATCGTGACAAACACCACACATAATGTACTCATTTATTATTGGAATTTACATTCTGTTAAGTTCTTATTTGGAATGAAAGCAAAATTCAACATTGCTGCAGAAATAATAATTTCACAGAATAAGAATTTAAATTTTTGATTCACTCTAATGTATGTACTTGATTTTCAAATCAATTTCTATGGTTAAGCCCATGGTACTAAAAGGTTAAGTCAAATAAATTTAAATTATGTACTTTCATTTTTCTAAAATTGCTGGCATACACATGAGGTATTCTATTCCTTCTTAGTGATATTTCATCCTACTCGCAAAAACTGTTTGGTGCAAGCTTCCCTTTTATACTGCTGCTGCTTTTTCTGCAAGATCTTTCTTTAGTTTTGCATTTGTTCTCAAGCATTTAAAATCTGTATTTCAGATTTACAGACCTAATCATGTTTCCATTTGTACAATGGACAACTGTAGGAAACAGTATGTAAGCAGAGCTAAAAGACAGTTATAGTTATCTAAATGCCTTATAAAGGCAGGCATTTAAAGCAATTTTTTATCCTTATGAATCCAACTGAGAATTGTCCAACAGTCTCTGCAATGATGTCAATGATGGACATTAGCCAATTTAATGTTGACTTTTTAGGAACTCTTTCTTATTGTTAATGATCAGTTGTACCATTTGTCCCTGATGTTCTCCTGGTGAATTAATAAAGACTCTCTGAAGAGGAATAGGCACAAAACTTTTAGCTGCATGCTAACTCCCTATGGCTGTGAGGAAAGTCATTGGCTTACACCCAGCTTCAGGGTAATACAGCATCTCTGCTGACAGGATGGTATGACTCCTGCTTGCCTAATTAATAATGACGTCCATGTTAAGTGAGAGTAATAAATTTGTCTAAGGGAACCAAGCATGGCTCATTAGGCAGGTCCTTTCAAATTAAGGTAGAATGCTTCTGTATCACCAAGTAGTGACATCACCCTCTCTTCTGCAGAGCTAATGTTTTCTCTTTTGAAAGACTGCTCTCTCCACAAGCAGCACTGCTCCTTTTTAATGACTTGGGTCTTTCCATTGTAAGTATGATGAGTGCATTTGATACTCATATTTTGGCTATTATTTAAATCTGGTAAGATGCATAAGGATCTAACCTTCTGTGATAGAGAGAGTTGAGTTGTTCGATTATGCGAAGCTCTGTGCAATACAAAACAAAGCTAGATCTGCCACGTTCATGCTCATGATATGACTTTTACCCAGGAGCTGCTCAACTACCCTGGAAGTCTGGTTTACCTGTGAAGTGCAATGTAATATACAGTTATTTGACAATGGAACTGTAAATGTCAGTGACACTGACGAGCAGTTTTTGACATGAGCAACAATTCATGTAAGATGTTCAAAACTGTCCTAATCACAGCTGTATATCTAAATAGACAAAATAGACCTCGATTTTCAAGAGAATTTTATTTCAGCTGTTAAAATGAGGTAAATATTAATGTTTGTCATATTAATTATAATTCTTAATAACACACAGATGAGAAAACAAACAAAACCTGTTTTCTTTGTTGATGTGTTTAGACAGTTCTACAAAAAAGAAAGCTGTCCTATTGTAACCAAGATTCAAACCTAGTCTCTAAATTCTCTGAAAATAAAAAGCATTTTCTCATCAATTCAAGAGTGCAATAACTCTACAGTGACTGTAAAAACTAATCACATCATGCCTTTACACTTGCTGGCATCAGTGCCCTGATTATTTTACTACTTGTGCCTCCTTTCACTTATCAGTTCTATCTACGTAAACATACA